GAATGATCGACCAGTCGAGCAGTCGAGTCGACCTCCACAGATCGGCCAGTGTATGGGTTGTCAGCATTCCAGAGATCGACCTAGTCACATGCGCGTGTAAGAGCCTCTAACATAATTTCAGAGGAATAATTATCCCATGTGCAGAGAACACGTGGCGAGAATGCATTGGTTGATAGCGACAACCACCTCTGACATGCGCGCGGTATGTCAGAGTATGGACGGGCAGCTGGAGCAGCCAGCTCACCAAATTCGGGCAACCTTTAGGTCAGGTATCTGACCCCTATATAAGTGGAGGTGATCCTTTCTTCCTAGACACGATTTTTTCCATTATTTTACTCAGACATACACATACTCACTTAAGCATCAGAGGCTCTTCATCGGAGAATCCCCTGGTGTGAGAGTTATTTGCAGGTTTCCGGCGTTCTACCGGCGAGGACGAGAGGCGATCTATTCCAAACCGACCAGGAAGCTCACACTTGCATTAGTTTCCTTATTTATGAACTAATTTTCGAGCGCGAAGAAACATGTAAATGCATAGCACGGAATGCAATAGAGAGAGAGAGAGAGAGAGAGAGTGAGACCCTCTGTGAATACGTGGCTCGATACACAAAGCATCATGTGGAGTTCCCCTCAACTTCTGAGGAGATCAAAGCATGAAGCCTTACCAGAGGTCTTCGACAAAAAACGTGAAGGGACTTGTAGACAAAAAGACCGCCGAGATCTTTCAATGAGCTCCTAAAAAGATGTAGCAAGTATGTCAACATGAAAGAGGCTGACGCCGATTTCTTGAGAAATGACAATGGCAAAGCTAAACGGGTGGAAGCGCTTGAATGGCAGGAAATCTCCGGGCAAGTAGTTTAGGGCATAGGATTGTTCTAAGTCGTGGAACAAATATGTAACTTACATGCCCGTGAACGTATCTCAAAGGGAAGTTTTTAAGGTCCTTGAAAAGCGAGGTGAATGCTCTCCCAACCTAAACCCCTTTTTAAGAAAAAGGTTTACGTGTCCTCGTGGAGGGAGTCGTACTCCAAATATCACAAGGAATATGGTCATTCGACTATCGCTTGTAGGGAGCTGAAGGACGATATGGAACGACGCATTCGAGTCGGGCATCTTAAAAAATCTGTTTTTAAAGACAAAGATCAGAAAAATGATCGAGAGATTTGCGAGAAATGGAGACGTCCCGACGAGCAAGAGGACATGCTTGATAAGTACGGCTGAGCATGGACTTGGAGAATTACGAATCGTTCTAAAAACTGAACCGAAATCACTCCCAACCGAAAAATAACCGTTGACCGTTTGACTTAACCGAACCGAAAAAATAATTGGTATGGTTCTGGAGATTTCACAAATATCCGTACCGAGAACTGAGCCGAACCGAACCGTCCTGTACCGACCGAAGAACCGAAACTAAGAACTGAATTATAACATTAGATGTGTTATTAATATATTTTATGTCAACTTTGATTCCATATAATATAGTAATAAATATTAACCTTCACTTAAATTTCATGCTTAGTAATACTTGATCTACAATTGAATGTTTTCTATTATAAAATAATTATTTAAAATAATATGAAAGTTTAAAGAATATTTTTTAAGAAAAAAATATTATATTTTATTTGAATTTTAAATTTTTAATATTAATTGCACAAATTTAGTTATAACTAAAATTTAGAGTTACTTATAAAATTGATTTCAAAATAAAATCGTTAATGTGAGGAAGTACTAATGAATGTTGGTTTTATTAATTCATATAAAAATTAAATAACTAAATTTTAGAGTTATTTCTAGAATTGATTTCAAAATAAAATTTTTAATATGATAATTATTTGATGAATGTTGTTTTTTTAAAGCATATAAAAATTAAATTACAACTAGGTAGTCATTCAAAAATAATTTAAATTAAATAAAAAAATCTCCGAAGATCCGAACCAAACCATACCGAACCGAACCGTCCCAATAGTCTCGAATACCGAACCGAACCGATTTTTTGGTACGGTTCCGGAGATCGAATTTTGGGATCTCCGAAGTTTGGTACGGTTCTGGAAATTTATCAATCTCCGAACCGTACCGACCCACGCTCACCCCTATTGATAAGAAATGAGTGATCCAAATGATCGCAAGAGGTCCCATTTATGGGGACTCCCAATGAGAGGAAAAAGGACATACCGAGAGAAGGAGTTCGCCAGTGAAGCGGCGAAGGTGAAGACCATGAAGTTTCAGAAGTCTAAGGTAACTCTTAAATTTGGCGTGGAAGACCTGCAAGACTTTCTTACCCCGCATGATGATATGCTTTAGTCACCACTGCCGATGTCGCAAGTTACGATGTACAACTATAGTGTTCATTGATACAACAAGTTTCGTTGCAATTATGTTTTTGCAATATCTGATGCAGACATATCTTGACGTGAAGATTGAAACTGTGCACAATGCTTAGTTGGATTAGTTTTTTTGATTTGTTTGGGCCATTATCATTTCCCAAAGCCCACATAGTAAATGAACTGGCCTTGTACTTTTTTTTTAAAAAAAAAGAAAATGGGCCAGGTCTTTTCACAACTAAATATCAATGTTTAAAAAATTGAAATATTCACGTCAGCTATCCTTCTGAAAAAAGTTTTTTCTGCACCCCTTTATTATTAAGTCAAATACATTCTTTTTTATTTTCATTTATACTCTAAATATCAGTTATTATTTTTTTATTTTTTTATTTTTTTTCATTTTTTTAATTCATATTTAACCTTTTATAAACCTCATCTTATCTTTCTCCTGGATCTAATTTTTCTCCATCTCGTTTTCTTCTTCTTCTAATTTCTTCTTCTTCTCTCTTTTTCTTTCATTCTTCCATTTTTATTCTTTTTCTTCTCTTTCGATTCTTCTTCTTCTTCTTCCAATTTATAGATTTCCCCTAATCTAATTTTTCCAATTTTTTTAATCAATTCCGCATCCCAATTTTTTTTTCATCCCAATCCGCATCCCTAATCTAATTCTCACTGCTCAGATTCCAAATTCCAGACGTTGGCGTGTTTGGAATGGGCGTGCAAGGTTCGAATAGCAAATCGTCATAAAAGGATCTACTAACTCCGGTTGCTCGTCGTCGTTACGGCTCAACGACGGGGCATCATTGGGTTCAATCGGTAGGGACA